GAGAGGAGACGGAGATCCTTGCCCGCTCGCGCCAAGTGCCCGCCCCCCAGTCCGCCCCTCCGCGTCGCTACCATCGCAACAGACTGAGGGCGGGCGTCTCCTCCGTGGCACACCCCGCCGCGCCCGCCCACTGCTCCGCGGCGGGGGAAAGGCGGTCACCGCCCCAGGGCGCGCCCATCCGCCGGCAATCCCACACCCTCGGCGCCGCGACGGCGCCGACGGTTTCACCCGGCTGGGCGCGCCTAAAAAACTTGAGCGCGCATAGGCCAGTGCCCCGAACAGTCCATTCACAGGTTCGAATCCCCTTGCTGCTGCCCCCGCATACAGCATTCCAACGGGTTGCGGGCGCCCCCTCTGGGCCCCCGGGCCACGCGGGCCTTTCGCGACCAAGGGCCCCTCCCCCGGCCGGGGGGGCACGGCCGGCGGGCAGCGCGCGCCGGGGTCGGGCCCGGCAGCTGCCCCTAGTGGGCTGGCTCATCCCACAAACAAAAGGCGGGGGCCCCAGCCCCCTCCCGGGCTAACGCTCCACGGTGAAGGGCTGTCGAAGCTATAACAAGTTGCTGGACGTTGCGCTAGAGTGTGCTCGAGGAATCTCGAGTGCTCTACAATAGACTGAACACTGGCTCCAACAACAAGGTATCACCTACATGTGAGGAGGCCCCTGGACACACAAATAAATACACACAAATCCCAGACAAGTCTGCAACAACCAACTCCCAGGTGCCAGGGTCGCGGGCACACAGGGGTTCACAAGCAGTGCGGGGCGCCGCGGCTCTAATTCGGACACCGGGACGGGCCGACACAGAAAAGCGGGCCAGGAAGGGCCAGAAACGGGCAAGAGAGCGAGGAGCCGAGGAGCGAGAAGGGCGGGGGAGAGGGAGGGAGGACGACGGGCAAGGACAGACTGGGCCGACAGACGGACGGACGGGGGACAGGGGGGGGAAGCCAAGCAGGAGGGGAGGGGGAGAGCACACAACGCACAAGGGCAAGGAAGCACGAGGGCAAAGGGGGGCGACACGGAGGGGGAAGGGAGAGGGAAAAAGGGGGAGGAGCCGGGGGCGGCCTCCCCCCCTCCTGGCCACCCGCGGCGCCCCCCACCGCCAGTTGGCAATATTGGGCCGACGTTGCCTCCGCCACGCGCGCCTCCCGCAGGTAGGCGCGGAAGGCGTTGGATTTCCACCTCCCAAAGCGCTCGGACCTCTCCAAGTCGGGCACCGCGTGGCACGTAGCTGTCGCCCCCCCGACGCCCAGAGAGTGGTGACTCCCGATTGGGCGGGCAGGGGGGGGCTCTAGTTCCCCCGCCCTCGGCCCTGCCCCTGAGCCCCTCCTCTTCGGCTAATGCGAAGTAATGGGCCCTCGCCCGTCGGCGCCGGCCGATGGCCCCCTCGGCTGCCGGGCGCCCCTCCCCGGACCCCGGGCTCCTTCATTTGGTTGCGGGGTCCGTCTGGGCGCCCCGCTCGACCGCCGCGGTCGGCGGGGCCCCTCCGGCCCCAAGCCCGCCGGCCCCCCCCCCCCCGCGCCTGGAACCCCGGCTGCCAGGGGGGCGCCGGGCAAGCCTTCTGCGAGGGGCGCGCCGCCGGGCTCGTGCCCCCGCCATTCCAGCGCCCCCTCCTGCTCCGTAACGGACAGGGCCGAGTCCACGGCCTTGATAGGGTGGAGGCCACTTGACCAGGTCAACGGGGCCGGTTTGCCGCCCTGCCCGCAACTGCCCGAAGACCCGGCGCCCCCGCCCCTTCCGGGCACGCCGCGCGACCAAGTGGCAACGCTGTCTCGAGCAGGCGCCACCGCGATTCTGGGCGCGCAATAGCTCCGCGGCGAGCGCGCGGCCTTCCCGCCAAATCGAGTGCCTCCTCCGCGCGCTCGAACCTGGGCCCCGCGGGTCCGCCCATCACGACTAGCACCGCCACGCGTGCTCGATTGCGAAGCGCGCCGCGCATGGGCCCTCTGGCCGATCGGGGTCGGGGCCCACGGATCCGCGACCCATCTCTCTTTTTTGTGCCGCCCCAGCCCCTGGCCCCGAAGCGAGCGAGGAGCCGGGCGGCGCGGCGGCCCCGACCAGAGCGGCTGACCGCGGGCCCGCGGGGGGCGGGGGCGCGACGCCCACCCGCCCGCAGGGGGCGAGCGCGGCCAGGCGTTTCAGGAAGCGCACGCCCGCGAGCGGTCGGGCGCAGGGGCGCCCCGCCCTCCGACTCTCCACATCCGCCGATGCTCCTCGGAGTCGCGCAAGAGGGCCGCGGCCCCCCCTTCCGCGCGCGCGCGCTCCAGGAGTAAGGCCCAGGGTCCCCGCTGGTCCTCCTCTGCGAGGCCCAGCCGCATCACCTCGCCTCGCACCTCCTCAGGGACATCTCTCGAGAGCGCGACCATGCCGAGGTCGCGCTCGGACCGCGCGCCCGCGGCGGCCACCTGGAACCCGCGGCGAGCCTCTAGCAGCGGCGAGAGCCTGAGCCCACGCCGCGCCAGGCGGTGCTTGCCCCCCCCTCTGGACGCCAGGCCCCGGCTCTTGCGCCGCCGGAGACGCAGAGCGCCGGGCGCCCCTTCCTGCGGGGGGCCCACGCGGAGGCCAAGACCGGGAAGGCGAGCGGCTCGCAAAGGGCAATGACCCCGCCCCCCCCCCCCCCCCGAAGGTTCGGGCGCGTCGCCTCTGGGCGAACATGGCCCCGGGCATCCCGCTGGTCATTAATCGGCAACTCCCATCCGGGACTCCGCGGCGCCCCCCTGCGCCGGGCGCTCGGGCGCGCGCGGGCCCCGCTGGCGGCAGCAGCGGCATGCCCAGCACAGCCCAGCAACAGCAAACCCAGCCCAAGTACCAGCTTACCACCCACCTCCTCATCCCCGCGAGGAGGCAGAGGAACGGGCCCCCCGCCGCGCGGCCCTCGGCCAGGCCCAGGATGGCCCGGGCAAGGACCCCCGCGCACTCCTGGAAACTGAGCGCGGCGGGCCGGGCGCCCCCACGTTCGCGCCCCGCCCCCCCCCGGCAGCAGCGCGCCACCTTTGCCAGCGCGCGCTCCAAGCGGGCCCGGAGGTTCCGGCTCGCGCAGTCAACCACCTTCGAGTAGGGGAAGTCCTGGCCGCCGCGCTTCGCCTGTTGGGTGGGGGCCCCAAGGGGCCCCCGGCCCGCCGCGCCCGTTCCCCCTCGATCTCAGCCACCAGGTGGTTGGGTGCTCGGGGTGGGTGGCCCCCTCTGGCACGGATCACGTCTCGATAGAAAACGTCGTCGACGGGCCGCCCGCTTGGCCCCCGCCAGTCCAGCTTAACCGCTCGTTTTCCACCACCGCGATCCAGCGAGGAATCCTCCGAGCCCACCCATAGAGGTAGCAGAGCGGTCGCAGGATGTACTCATCGACCATCGATGAAGCACCCTCCAAGGTGACGAGCAGGACGAAGGAACGCAGACGCGACGAACCCGGCCTCGAGGTCCTTGGCCGACGCCCCAGAAGCCCCGAAGGCCAGGTACGCCAGCCAGTCCAGCAGGGCCAGGACCTTGAGGAGCGCCGAGAAGCCCCATCCCACCAGGGCGGTCTCCTGCACCTCGAGAAAGGCCCCTCGACGCCTCCGGGCACTGCGAGACCCAGGATTCCCCCCTCCGGGCGGAGCCTCTCCTCGGCCTGGCTCTCCCCGCCGCGGGGCGATTCCAGACTGACAGCGGATCGCGCCCTTCCGGCTTGCCCCCCCAACCGGCCCCCCTAGGTTCCATTCGGCTCGGGCGCCCGAGGGGGCCGCGCGCCCCGAGGGAGCGCCGGGGCCAGCGAGGCGCCCCCCCCCAAAGCAGCCGCCCCCCAACCTCCCCCTCCCCTCCAGCGAGCGGGGGGCGCCCTTCGGTCCTGACGGCGGGTGGGCAAGCGATTTGGGTCGAACCCCAGCGCCCGCCCGCCCGTCCACCTCGTCACCGCCAGGGTCGCGCGTGAGATCCTCGAGGCCTCCTTCCCCGCCCCCGACGGCAGCGTTCCCCCTCCCCCCCGCGTTGCGGGGCTGCACCATGGGCCAGGGGGGGAGGTCCAGGCCCGGGGTTCACCCCTCGCTTCGGCAAGGTTCGGGCCCGCCCCCGCTTTCCAGGCCCGACGTTCCTCGCGGAGGCGGACCAGGGCCTGCTCGAGAATATCCTGCGCCAGCGGGGGGGGGGAGGGCCCTTTAGCCTTGGCCAGGATGGCCCCTCCGCCGCGCGCACCTCCCCGCCCTTTCCCCCGGCTGGGCCCAGGGGCAGAGGTTTTCCAGGCGGCGGGGGAACGGGCGACCTCCGACGCGGGTTCTCTCCCTCCCCACCCTCCCGTCGGACTGACGCGGGTTCATATGGGGGTCCTGAATGCCTCCGTCATCCTCGTATCCTACGAGGTACATCCGTCATCCTCGTCTCCAACGAGGTATACTGACGCGAAATACCCTCCCCCCTGGGCCCCATACGGGATCCTCAAGGAAGTAGCTCCGCGTGGCGGGTTCCCTCGCCGCTCCCGCCGATGGGCGGGTTGAGGGCCCGGCCTCCGGGGTCAAGCCCACTGGCGTGGCGAGACCCGCCCAGGCGGCGAACGCCGCGGCGTAGAAGCCCGTCAGGAAAAACATCGCAGATCTGGTGGGTCCCGAAAGGGATGATGGGCGCGTTCCCATCCACAAGAGTGAACGCAACCCGTGCAAAAACGGCTGCATGGGGAGAAAGAAAGGACAGAGAGCGCACGGCAAACGGCCTGATTAAGCTGTCCAGAGGGAAGCCCCAACATCAGAGACCATACATTCCAACAAGCATAAACAGTTGGCGTTCCGCGCGGGTCTTTTGGATCCGCGCTGAACCCCCTTCCTGGCGCGCGGCGATATTTTTCTTCTTTGTTTGAATATAGCCACGGTCTCATAACTCGAAAGCAGCTCCTAACCGCAAGTCATCGCAAGTCATCACAACCGAAAAACGCAAATGTGTTTATGAAAGACGCTGGATCTCTAGGCCTGGTGCTTTCTGACTGCCCTCTTCGACGACGGGCGCTAGGGCTTGGCGCCGCAGTGTGGCTACAGTTTGGTCAGGCGAAGATGTCACCGATCGCGGCCGCCGCAGCCATCTGGTGCTCCATCCCCATCACCTCCAGCTTCTTCGCAAAACTGGCGTCCTTGCGATGCCTCCTCCTCCTCCTCCTCTTCCTCCTCCTCGTCCTCGTCCTCGTCCTCCTCGTCGTCCTCGTCGTCGTCCTCGTGCTCGTCTTCGTCTTCCTCCTCCTGCTCCTCCTCCTCCTCCAGCTCCTCCTCCTCCTCCTCCTTCTCCTCCTCCTCCTCTTCCTCCTCCTCCTCCGCAGCAGCAGCAGCATCGGGTGAAAAGCTGGCGTCGTGCGGTGCCACTTTGCGGCCAGTTTCCGTGCCAGCCGCCCCCTCGGAAGCACACAAGGCCGTCCACCAGTCTACCGGGCTCGATGGGCAAGCTCGGAGGGACGTCCAGAGGCGGCATAGTTGTGTAGAGGGCAGCAAATCCACCTCGATAGTGACCATCCCGACACGCGAAGCCGTTTAGCAAACGCGCCCAAAGAAGGAATCGAACAGGGCAGGGCTGTTTAGTCCCACCAGCCTTTTGGTCGACAGGTGGTCTAACGAGATTATCCTTCCCTCTTCCAAAAAAAAACTCTTCCCCTAAGGGGAAGGGTTTACCCTTCCCCTAAGGGGAAGGGTTTACCCCTCCCCATTACCCCTCCCCTGGACTTTTTTTGGGGCCCCGAGAGGTGTCAGGGCGTCCAAAACGGCCTCGCCGAGGAAGCCAAAATCACTGGTGTTACTGAGGTGTTGGCCCCATGTTGGCCTCTTTGGGGGGGGTGGCCTTGGGGGTGGGGGGGGGCAGCACGTTATCCCACCAGCCCTCTGGGCGCCAAAATCATTGGTTTTGCACAGGTATTGGCCCCATGTTGGCCTCTTGGGGGGGGGGGGGGGGGCGAACGTTATCCCAGCCCCCCCTTTGATCGAAAGTCTTCAAGATGGCCCCAATAGGCCTTCCAGGGCTCCCAAGAGGGCCCCAAGAGAGCCCCAAGAGAGCCCCAAGAGGGCCCCAATAGGGCCAGAGGCCTCCAAGACAGCCAAGATGGCCTCCAAGACGGCTAGGATGGCCCCAGGATGCCTCCAAAACGGCCCAAGATGCACCCAAGACGGCCTGAGATGGCCTCCAGATGGCCTAAGACGGCCCAAGAGGCCCCCAAGAGGCCTCCAAGACGGCCCAAGGGGCCTCCAAGAGGTCCCCCAGGAGGGCCCGACGAGGCCCAAATCATTGATTGTCCGAAAATTGTTAACAGATGTTGGCATTCGCTTTTGTTCGGCATTCCGGCGGCTCAAGACGGCCCAAAAAGCCCCCAAGATCGCCCACGAGGCCTTCAAGATGGCCCCATGACGGCCCAAAAGGCCCCCAAGACGGCCCTAAGGGGGCCCAAGAGGCCTCCAAGACGGCAAGATGGCCTCCAAGACGGCCAAGATGGCCCCAGGATGCCTCCAAGACTGCCCTAGATGCACCCAAGACGGCCTAAGATGGCCTCGAGATGACGCAAGACGGCCCAACAGGCCCCCAAGAGGGCTCCAAGACGAAGGCGTCCAGGAGGTCGTCCAGGAGGGCACGAACAGGCCAAGATCATCGATTGCCCTAAGATTTTTGAAGGATTTGGGCGTTTGCTTCTTCTCGGCATTCCGACGGCTCAAGACGGCGCAAAATGCCCCAAAGATCGCCCAAGAGGCCTCCAAGATGACCCCATGACGGCCCAAAGGCCCCCAAGACGGCCCCAAGAGGGCCCCAAAACAGCCCAATAGGCCTCCAAGACGCCCAACTTGGCCTCTAAGAGCCCCTGATATGCCCCAAGAGGGCCCCAAGACGGCCCAGACAGGCCCCCAAGACAGCTTCCGACGGCGTCAGACAAGCCAGGAACGCCCTAAGACAGCCAAAGAGGTCCCCAAGAAGCCCCCGAAGGCCTAAAACAAAACCCAAGAGGCCCTGGGGAAGCGCCCAGGAGGCCCCAAGAGTGCCCCAAGAGGCGCCCAAGGGGCCTCCTCCTCCTCCTCCTCCTCCTGTTCCTCCTCCTCCTGCTCCTCCTCCTCCTCCTCCTCCTCCTCCTCCTCCTCTTCCTCCTCCTCCTCCTCTTCCTCCTCTTCCATTTGCCCCCACGCGGCCCCCAGGGATGGCCCGGAGAGACCTTCCAAGGCCACCCCACTGCTCCCTAAGATCTATCGGTTCCTCCTGGTTGCTCGCTTTGTCCCTAGATGTGTCCCTTCGTCCCGTTTCCCGTCAGCTCTCGTGGGCAGGGTATCTGAATGGGCTGGTGGGGATACTTTTTTGATCGCGACCGCAGGCGGGCACCCGCGCGGCGTCAGAAGGGTCGAACAGCAAGCGAGAGCCGGAAACACAGCGCAACTGTCGCACTGAGCAAAATGCTCCGCGTTCGCCGTGACGCACCTAGGCGCCGCCCGGTCCAAAAGAACGAGCGCACAGAGGTGCGGGTGCAACGGAACGTCGCCCTTGCGGCGCCAAGCTCCGAGCAACACCCCAGACAAACAACTGGCACCAGCCCGGAGAACCGGCTGCTGGGGGTGGAAAATTGGCTGACGGCGCTGAAGGCTGGACCACTCAGCGCGCAGCCAGCGAACACCACTACAGAGCAGTTGAATCCGATGTCGGCTATAAAAGAACGAGCGCACAGAGGTGCGAGCGCAACGGAACGTCGCCCTTGCGGCGCCAAGCTCCGAGCAACACCTCAACCAGATAACTGTCACCAGCCCGGAGTACCGGCTGCTGGAAGTGGGAAACAGGCTGACGGCGCTGAAGGCTGATCCACTCAGCGCGCAGCGAGCGAACACCACTACAGAGCTGTTGAGGCAGGCGTCGGCCAAAGGACGGGTCGGAACCGGTGAGGCAGAGGTGCGCCGAGAAACGCGGGCTAGGCGCCACACTGGCTAGGCAACCCGCCACAGATACCCTCACCTCGGCGGACACCGCCGACCTTCCGATGCCTTGGTGCCGACCGGCTGCGGGAGGGCCACTGCGGCCCGCAGTGTGCGACTGGCGTGGAGATGGGGGGTGCAGCTAACCGCCGCAAGAGGTACGTAACTGGACGGCACCTGCACGCCGAGAGCGTATACACGTCAGGGGGCTGGTGGGGATACTTTTTTGTTGTTTTTTTTTGTTGGCGGCTCCCAGGCGAAGGTCAGGAAGCGGGGCATCGAACGGGGCGCGGAACGAAGATAATTAGCCGAAGAGGCGCATGCACATGCAAGGGACAAAATGACCCAAATTAACCACCAGACCCTGCTGGTGGTGGGGATAAGCGAAAGCGTGAAGAATAAACGCTCAAGGCCGTTTAGTAAACACTAATTGTCCGGTCCGGGTGGTTTTTCCTCATTGGTTGTAGACATCATACTTGGAGGCCGCCACGGGGTCCTAGGCTGCCTAGGTCTACAGATGACCGGTCAAGAGGGGGGATGAGAGCACATTCGCTCAAAATTGGCCCCCGGACCCCTCCTGGGGTCCAAATTGACTGGTTGCTTGAGCCGCGACCAGCCGTGGCGGCGAGGACTTGCAGGGGTCGAAACCGACAAGTCTTCTGAGCCACATCCAACCGTGGCGACGAGAGGCTGTGCCCAGGAGAGTGTGGCGCGACAAAGGCGCCTATGGTAGGAGCCCCTAAAACAAGAAACGTTCCTCAAGAAACCCAGCCCTGAAGCCCCAGGAAATTCATTGATTTTTGGTGTGGGAACGTCACGCTTTCCATCGCAAAACCATCGAGGCCCAAGAAACCGAAACCCAGGGCACCCTGGAGGCAAGCAGGTTGTCTCTTGACATGTAATTCCACTGTACCCGCACCTGCCCAACGCGAGCGGCAGCTGCCCCGTCGCCGCCGGCGGCGTCGCCGGGCGCGACGCTGCGGGTGTCCCGTCGGTCGTCCGTCGGGCCGCCGTCGCCGTCGCCGTCGCCGTCGCCCGCCGCCGTCGCCGTCGTCGCTGTTGGCTGCCTGCTGTTCCTTGCTCTGGACCTCGTGCCCCGTCGCGGGCGCGCGCGAGGCCGACCCAGAGCCTAGAACCAGCTCGGCCCTTCCAGCTGGCTCCAACAGCATACCATGCACCAGGCAGCCGAGGCAGGTTCCGCGCTGTCCCCTCGGGGTGAGTCGAGCACGCGCGCCTGCCCCGGTCGTTTACCCTCGCGCCCTCGAGGCCACAAGGACGTCGTCGCCCGTCGTCGTCGTCGTCGTCGTCATCACTGCCGTCGTCATCGCCGTCGTCGCTGCCCGCAGCCGCCGCCATCGAGTTCGTCGCCTTCATCGACATCGGTGCTGTCGCTGGTCGTCGACGAAGGCCATCGCCGCCATCGATGCAGACCGACCCTCAGCGGGGCCGCAGCCCCGTAGCTCCGAGATTTGAGCGTTGGAATGTTTCGCGTTTTCGCCCGATGTCGTGCCCAAAGGCACTCACGGATCACAATGTGACCCGAGACATGCAGCAGAAAGATGAAATCGAAGGCTTTGGTCGTAATGTTCCACAATGTTGAAAATCCCACCAGCCCTCTGGGCGTCGGTGGTCTAGAGAGTTTCCTCTTCCAACCCCCTTCTTCCCCTTCGGGGAGGGGTTTACCCCTCCCCCTACCCCCTCCCCTGGACCTGGACGGAGGGTGCCGCGGGTCGTTGGGGCGTCCAAGATGGCCCAAGACGGCTCCAAGAGCGAGAAGGCGAGAAAACGAAAAACATTGATGTCCCTGGGTTTTGGAAGGATTGTGGCCTCTTTTGGGGCCCAAGAGGCGATTCGAGGCACTCTAGAGGGGCAAGGCTAATTGACCACCCCCCCTTCTTTGATAGATCTCCTCCAACATGGCCCCAAGAGCGCCCCGAAGGCTCCCAAGAGCGCCCCAAGAGGGCCCCAAGAGACCCGAAGAGGCGCCCAAGAGGCCTCCAAGAGGCTCCCAAGAGACCCCCAAGAGGCCCCAAGAGGCTCCCCGAGATACGCAAGAGGCCCCTGGGACCGCCAAGAGGCCCCAAAGACGGCCCAAGAGCCCCCCAAGCTCGACATTGTCCTCTTCATCCTCCACTTTTTCTTCCTCCTCCTCCTCCTCCTCCTTCTCCTCCTTCTCCTCCTTCTCGTCCTCGCACTCCTCCATCTCCTC